CCGCAGAGATAATATGAAACACAAAATTAACGAAATGAAAATAGAAAAGATAGTGAATATAATAAAAAAAAAACATAGAGATATTAAAACAGAACAAAAATATTTATAGCTGAGTTAATTAGTAATGTTTTGAATAATGACTCGATCCAGATATTGTGTCGGTGATAAATATTATTGTGTGTGTGTGTTGCTATTATTTAAGTCGTATTTTCTTTCTCATCTTCCTTTTCTCCCATCTCTCCCTCTCTTCCTTCCCCCACCCCTCTCACCCACCTCACCCACCCTCTCACCACCTCCCCTCTCTCCACCCCTCTCACTACCACCCCCTCTCACCCTCCCCCTTCACTACTTCCCAGTATCAGCTAACAATAAATTCTCATTCAGTGTTAATAATTGTGTTAACACCTTCAACCCAACACAGAAATTACGGAATAAATTAACCCCTGATGTGTGTGTGTGTGTGTGTGTGTGTGTGTGTGTGTGTGTGTGTGTGTGTGTGTGTGTGTGTGTGTGTGTGTGTGTACTATTACTGTACACAACTCAATTCAAACTTATTAAAAAATAAAAATTTTATAGTCAATATCTCTTTTCAAATTTGATGAGGGACACAGATGACACAGGTGAGAGATACAGGTGAGACACAGGTGAGAGACAATGGTGAGAGACACAGGTGAGAGACGCAGGTGAGAGACACAGATGAGACACAGGTGAGAGATACAGGAGGCATCAGGTACAGGCGTCACTAAGCACTTCCGGTCACGTCATATTTTGTTTGATTTCCTACACTGAAGGTCTTTGTGTGTGTGTGTGTGTGTGTGTGTGTGTGTGTGTGTGTGTGTGTGTGTGAGAGAGAGAAGAGAGAGAGAGAGAGAGAGAGAAGTAATCGTGTTCGCTAAATAATAATAATAAATAATAATAATAATAATAATAATAATAATAATAATAATAATAATAATGCCTGAATTATAAACACACTACAAGTTGCTGTATCGTAGAATCACAGCATTACAGAACACGATTTGCTGTTGCCTAAATTTAGAACATTACAGAACCTTACAGTATCGTTACACAAGCTCACAGTACAGAAAATTACAGTATTATTATAGAAGCTACAGAATATTACAGAAGCTTGTATCGTTATAGAACATAACAGAACCTTATAGTATCGTTACAATACATTACAGAAGGTCACAGTACACTACACAACACTACAGTATTATTATAGAAGCTACAATAAATTACGGAACATTACAGAAGCTTACAGTATCGTTACAATATATTACAGAAGCTTACAGACTAAGAACGTATTAACAAGAGCAAGTGGAAAGGTCGGGAGCCCAAAAGGTGCATTACTTTATAATTTACTGAATCATCAACCAACTGTTCTCTCCACTATGCACCTAACACACACACACGGACGGGTGAACAAGAGGAACAAGAGGAACACTGAGCAAGAGGAACACTGAACAAGAGGAACACTAAACAAGAGGAACACTGAACAAGAGGAACACTGAACAAGAGGAACGTTAAACAAGAGGAACACTGAACAGAGGAACACCGAACCAGAGGAACACTGAACAGAGAGGAACACTGAACAAAAGGAACACTGAACAAGAGGAACACTTACCACCGGACGAGACAGGTGAGTGATAATGGTTCCCCCACAGGAAAGGGCCAATGACACCGCTCACCTCCACACCTCTACTGCTCTGTATGGTCACCCTTCCTGGGGCACTGGAGGGGAGAGATACCTGTGTTAATTATCTGGGGTTACCTATTACTAGGTTTCCGTTAATTATCTGGGTTACCTGTTAATTATCTAGGATTACCTGTAATTATCTGGGGTTACCTGTTAATTATCTGGGATTACCTGTAATTATCTAGGTTACCTGTTAATTAGGATTACCTGTAATTATCTGGGGGTTACCTGTTAATTATCTAGGTTACCTGATAATTATCTAGGGTTACCTGTTAATTATCTGGGGTTACCTGTTAATTATCTAGGATTACCTGTAATTATCTGGGGTTACCTGTTAATTATCTAGGTTACCTGTAATTATCTGGGGGTTACCTGTTAATTATCTAGGTTACCTGTAATTATCTAGGGTTACCTGTTAATTATCTAGGGTTACCTGTTAATTATCTGGATACCTGTTAATTATCTGGGTTTATCTGTTAATTATCTAGGTTACCTGTTAATTATCTGGGGTACCTGTTAATTATCTAGGATTACCTGTTATTATCTAGGGTTACCTGTTAATTATCTAGGGTTACCTGTTAATTATCTGGGGTTACCTGTAATTATCTAGGATACCTGTTAATTATCTGGATCTGTAATTATCTTGAGTTACCTGTTAATTATCTAGGGTTACCTGTTAATTATCTGGGTTACCTGTTAATTATCTGGGGATACCTGTTAATTATCTGGGGTTTAGCTGTTAATTATCTGGGATACCTGTTAATTATCTGGGATTACCTGTTAATTATCTGGGGTTTATCTGTTAATTATCTAGTTACCTGTTAATTATCTAGGATTACCTGTAATTATCTGGGGGTTACCGTTAATATCTAGGTTACCTGTTAATTATTGGGGTTACCTGTTAATTATCTAGGATTACCTGTAATTATCTGGGGGTTACCTGTTAATTATCTGGGTTCTAATTATCTAGGGTTACCTGTTAATTATCTGGGGTTACCTGTTAATTATCTGGGGATACCTGTTAATTATCTGGGGTTTAGCTGTTAATTATCTGGGGTTACCTGTTAATTTTCTGTAGTTACTTAATTATCTGGGTTTACCTGTTAATTATCTGGGGTTACTTGTTAATTATCTGTAGTTACCTGTTAATTATCTGGGGTTTACCTGTTAATTATCTGGGGTTACCTGTGCAGGTTAATTATCCAGAGGTATGCCACTATAATTCGTATGATTGGGTATAATCCACAGGTGAGAGAGGGACTAATTACTCCAGCAATACCTGTGACCAATCATAGCCCAAGTACTACTTAAATTTCCTCTCATTAGTGATATAATTACATGATTACCTTGTGTGTGTGTGTGTGTGTGTGTGTGTTGGACCTGTTTGCTTTGTGTCTGTCTGTGTCTGTGTGTGTAGGTGTGTGTGTGTGTGTGTGTGTGTGGACCTGTCTGTGTCTCTGTGCTTGTGTGTCTGTCTGTCTATCTCTGCATCTGTCTGTCTGTGTCTGTCTAATACCACCCACTACCGTCAGCTTCACCCTTAGGTTCCTAGTAGGGAGGCCGGAAGTCGACCCGGCAGCGATAGTGGCCCTCGTGTGCTGGCTCCACGCTGTCGATCACCAGACCCTGAGGCTTCGAACTAACATCAAAGTGTGCTCGCGTCCCTCACTCCGACCAGTGTACCGAGCGAACCAGCGGGCGGACCTCGCGTCGATGCTGTAAACACGAGGATACAGAGGTGAATACAGGATATGCAACACACCCCAATCCACACACACACCACCACTAGTATTTCAGCACACCCCAATCCACACACACCACCACTAGTATTTCCAGCACACCCAATCCACACACACACACACCACCACTAGTATTTCATACCCCAATCCACACACACACACCACCACTAGTATTTCAGAACATAATTATTCCGTACATATAATTTAAACTCTGCTTTTAACTGAACAAGGAAATAGATTTTAGTAACGTTTAAAATTGTATATTAAAATTTTAACTTAATAAAAAGTACACAAAAAAATTCTCTTATAATCTCGTCCTCGTGAAAGAAAGGTTTGATATTTATACAGTGAAAGCGTTGTACCAGTAATTAATGCAGGTATACAGTTCACCATGTATATAGATAATGCAGGTATACAGTTCACCATGTATATAGATAATGCAGGTATACAGTTCACCATGTATAATGTATAAAATAAATTGGACCTGAAATCTGACAGACTTTATTTATTTATTTCATTTTATTTATTTATTTTTTTATACCCAACAAGAGGTCTCCGTCCCTCCACCTGACGATTTGAAAATATTTGTTGTTTTATTTTTGCTATCCAAGTTAACGGGGTTTTTATCAGTAAATATTCATAACTAACCTAACTCTAACCCCCAGGTTAGGTTAGGTAGATATTCTGAACAATTGTGCTCGAGTGCCTGGTACCTTTGACCCCGACCTTTGACCTCACCATAATCCAATCATTCCTCGGCTCCGGCCAACACACAACTACAGTACTGTATACCAACAAGTCTCTCTGGAGGCTATCTCACTACAGTATGTATGTATGTATGTATGTATGTATGTTGTATGTTGTACTTACCTAAATTAACCCAAATTTTTCCCCAACTGAACATTAAGTTGCATTACTCTCTCTCTCTCCTCTCTCTCTCTCTCTCTCTCTCTCTCTCTCCTCCATCTCTCCTTTACCTGGGACACACATGACTGACGGGTGATTAGGAAACCCACTCATCCACACCACAACTCTCTCTCTCTCTCTCTCTCTCAAACACTACACCTTCCTAACTGAATTCTCATCAACCTATTTGACTTTGAGAGAGAGAGAGAGAGAGAGAGAGAGAGAAGAGAGCCACTGATAATCACCCACACTAAATTAATGACAATATTTTACATCAATTAATTATTATCCACCTTTAGCATAAAACATCAATTATTCTCAATTTAAAAAAAAGACAAACAAAAATAATCGCTGTAACTGATGGCTGCTGACTGATCACAATAAAAATTATAATTACACTAGTAAATTTTGACCTCTGACCCCGTGACCTCAACTTGACAATGCGACCATAACACCTAGCTGAACCAATAATCTTTCATAAATTTTTAATACAATCCTTTCATTAATGCGTAAGTTATATAGAGGAAGATACTAAATATATATTCTACCCATCGGAGGAGAATGATAAAAGATAAATATTTGAGGGATATTATCTGTCAATAGAGGGAATGAGTCACGCCATGTTATGAGTCAAGGCGAGAGTCATGCACAGCGGAGCGTCCGGTCACCTCGCCGCCACCACAACATCACGTCATCCCAAACATTCTTACACCAAATTTTATCATTAAATTAACCGTAAAAATATATATATATATCACCCCAAAAACTAAAAATATAATATAAATAATATATTTAGTTTTTTTATCATTTATTAAATTATATAGAGTTTAATAAGGTTTTTATATGACCGATGAAGGAGAGCGTGTTAGGATGGGATCTATCGAGTGTTGGGACAGAAACCAGTGTAACATGACGACTCGACCACCGCCTCCCGTGTGACCTTCAAGACGGGTGGATGATCCGTCTGTCTGTCTCTCCATCTCACTCATACTTATATTGTGTAGCAGAGTGTCTCAGTAGCCTTACACCTTATACTCTCTAGCGTTAACAACAACAACAACAACAACAACAACAACAACAATAATAATAATAATAATAATAATAATAATAATAATAATAACCATAAATAAATACAATTATGAAAAAAGATCAATAGTGAGAAACAATATATGTATGTTGTGTTGTCAATAGTAAGAGAAACAATTGAGACCCTGCAATTGTGTGTAAATGAGACAGAAAGTCAGATCATCAACCTGGGACTTGGTCACATATGGCAGCAGGGTCTACCATTAGACAACACATTATGCTTCCAATATCTTCCAGGCGGTAGTACTCCCTGTTTGGTAGCTGCCTACTACCTACTACTGCCATAAGAATATACCCTAACGCTAACTGGGTGTGTTAGGTTAGTTGTTAAATCAGAAGAAATCAACTAGGGTGGCTAATCTTCAGGTGATCTCTCTCTCTCTCTCTCTCTCCTTACGCCCAGCTACCAATGACCACGTATCAAACCACCTTAACAATCCTTCACCACCCACCTCACACCAGTTACAAGTTGGATACAGCACACTGATTACATGTACTACCAACCTCCCAATACACAAGGAGACAATACGCCCGGTACTCTCGGTAGCCTTTGTAGCCTCGGTAGTATTGGTAGTGTCCTAAAGCTACCGTACGTTAATTCCTCCAAAGTTTGGTACCTATTCACAACATGGTGGACTAAAGGTGCCCCGGCCAGCCTCACGGAATAAATTTTGAAATAAACTTTACACAAAAATATAAACTTACGTAATGAAATATAAAATTATATTAATACATTACGAATATATTAATGATAATAATAAAAATGTTAAAATAAATAATAGGTATTTTTTTGTTGAAGTCGAGGATAATTTTGCTGTTATTCAGAAACAATATATCTGGAGGATCTGTCTGTCTGTCTCTGTCTCTTTCTGTCTGTCGTTTTCTCTTTCTTCTGTCTGTCTGTCCCCATCTGCCTGTCTCTGTCTGTCTGTTCGTCTGTCTGTCTCTGCCTGTCTGTCGTCTGTCTGTCTCTCTTACACATTCTGTCTGTCTGTCTGTCTGTCTGTCTTTCGCTAAGGATCAGTGATGTTCCTCTCTCCCCACCTGTATATGGGTGTCCCTGTAGCGCCATTATAGAAGAGCACTAGTATAGGGGCGTCGTCAGGAGTAGAGGCTGTGATGTTACATGGTAGCAACGTCCTGCCTCCTTCTACAGCCGTTACCTCCGTCAGTGGACCTGTAGACAGACAAACAGACACGTGTAAACATTAGAACGTACGTACATGTGTTAATAAATGTGTACATATGTAGAGAAATGAGTATAAATAGATATAAATACATGACTTGCACACACACTTTGTACATGATATTCAAAGGCATACGATAATTATTTTTGTTTGTTAAATCTCATTCTGTACTTCGTATTTCCATTCTCTTATTTATACGATACTATCTCTTTGTAATTTTCTATTGTTTATTCTTTCCTCGTGTCTCATTTATTGTTTTATCCTTTCGTTCATATTTATTTATTTATCATATTTTTTATAAAGTTTCATTCACAGGGGAGGGGTGAAGAGGTGCAGTACGACAGTTTGGTACGAGACAGACAGCTGGCAGCAGCGTCTCGGGTTTCGCTGGCGGGCGTACGACTAAAATAATTTGATAGATAGAGAGAGAGAGAGAGAGAGAGAGAGAGAGACTGAAGCTCTTAGAAACACTACTGCAACCTCTTAACCTTACAACGCCTTGTCAAAACAAAATGAGTTCTAGGGATGTTTTGACCCCAAGTCACATAAAACTGAGTAGCAAATCTCTACCGGGAAGACCCACAAGCAGCTGTCATAGATAAATGGAAGGGGAGGGAGTGCCTAACCACTGTTGAGGCCCACAGTCCTCCCTCCACTGTATGCTGAACCCTATCACCCAGGGCCTGCTTTTTGTGTCATCTGCTCCCATTGGGGTCACACCTTCACTGCCTGCTGCCGACGTGATCGTCCCAGATGTCGCCTCTGTTCACAGAAACCATCACTCCTGCGTCTGTGCCCAGAAAATCAAAGACCACCTCAATGGGGGTGGTGAGGGCTATGTTGTTGACCCCAGGCGTTGTAACTGTGGTGGCTGGCACAATGCTGACTCACGACAATGTCCCAAACGTCCGCCTGTCCCAGGAGAAAAGCTTCCCCGAAGCTGCGTCAACTCAACCTCTCCCCCATCCTACCGGGCCGCCTCCTCTGTGCCCCCTCTGTCTCCAGCAAGCCTTCTTCAACAACACCTGCCTCTGCCTGGCCTCACCTGGCTACAACACAGCAGTCCCCGTCTCCTAACTCACTACTACTGGGCCTCCTCCCGTCTCTACTCTGAGGCTGTCAGGCCTTGTGCTCCCACTGGTGCCCCCACAACCCCACCTCCAGTGACACGACACAAATCATATCCCTCTTACACTAACTTACCAACCTTAGTATTGAAAGACTCTTTGATACACTCTGTACCGCCATCTCCAACCTACAGACTCTCCTGCCTCCAGCTGCTAACCAGTCACCCCTCTTCTGGTTTGGCACAACCTGGTAGCCCCTGTGTGCCCTCATGCTCACGGCCTACTCCACCGCCGGGCATCACTGCTGGCGTGGCACCTACAGCCTGCCCCGGTGTGCCCGGCTGCCCCCATCCACCCACCGCCTGCTCATGGACCCGAGGACACCACCCCCGGCTCCCCGTCCCCCCGGCACCTGGGGCCCATCCACTCCAGTTCTCCCACATCAATGACCACCATGAGGACATGTTGGTGTACTACATATCTACGCCAAGAAGGACGTCGCCTACCAACCTCTCGACGTCCCCTTGAAGCCGACACTACCGACGTACACGCCATCACATCACACTGAAAGGAATGTCCTCAATATTGTCAATGTCTATGGCCTGGCACTTGACATTATTAGGGACCTGCCACGCTTTGCCATAAACAGATAAATTGTACCGAAATTCCCCCCCACTCATCATTCTGTCACTTTATGTAACTTGCTGATAAAACCCATGACCCTTCAATCTTTTACGTCATTAATACACGAGTCATAAAGGCAAGCATGAACTCCGCATGCTTGCCAGATGGGCGCTGTAAACGCTTCTGCTGTTCACCTTGCACAGGATATAAGGGTGCCCAATAAACTAGCCCGCTCGGGGACAATCTAAAATCTATTCTCTCAGTGTTGTATTGTGGTGAGAGAGAGAGCCACACGACCAGTCAATATTTACCTCGTGTATACACTATAAAATATATCTATACTGTATATTGCTGTGTAAATACAATACTGCTCATTAACATTCCTCAAGTATACAGTATACCGCCAGGAAGGTGTATATGTTGGGTTGTAGCATGTTGGGTGTATAGCATGTTGGGTGTATAGCATGTTGAGTGTATAGCATGTTGGGTGTATAGCATGTTGGGTGTATAGCATGTTGGGTGTATAGCATGTGTTGGGTGTATAGCATGTTGAGTGTATAGCATGTTGGGTGTATAGCATGTTGGGTGTATAGCATGTGTTGGGTGTATAGCATGTTGGGTGTATAGCATGTTGGGTGTATAGCATGTTGGTGTATAGCATTAGGTGTATAGCGTGTGTATAGCATGTGTTAGTACGGTGCTATACAAGAGTTACGAGTCAGCAGCTATGTTATAAATGTTGCCGGGTTTTCTTGATGTATTCTGTACCTGAGTTAAACTTAATAAAATAATAAAAAAAAAAGGTTGAGAATGTTTGTCTTTGTGTGTGTGTGTTTTATGTGTGTCTGTTTTACGTGTCTGTGTGTATATACAGATGCTTGGTTTTGTATGACTGTTTCTTGTGTGTGTGTGTGTGTGTGTGTGTGTGTGTGTGAACCTCTGGATCAATGGCTGTACTGTTTGTTTATGAATCATTCTTACTATTGCTTGGACACCTGTTAATTATTACAACTAAACAACGAAACAACGAAACAACGAAACAACGAAACAACTAAACAAGAAACAAATAAATAAACATAGAAACAATAAAACAAGTACTAAGAAAATGAGAAGAAATGAAAGATTAGACTAAGTACAATAATTTAACCCCTTGAGTCCTAAGGAATGGACAGGTGGTGCTAGGTATGTACAGGTGCTTGGGATGGACAGGTGGGGCTAGGTATGTACAGGTGGTGCTTGGGATGGACAGGTGGGGCTAGGTATGTACAGGTGGTGCTAGGTATGTACAGATGGGTGCTTGGGATGGACAGGTGGGGCTAGGTATGTACAGGTGGTGCTAGGTATGGACAGGTGGGGCTAGGTATGTACAGGTGGTGCTTGGGATGGACAGGTGGGGCTAGGTATGTACAGGTGGTGCTAGGTATGTACAGGTGGGTGCTTGGGATGGACAGGTGGGGCTAGGTATGTACAGGTGGTGCTTGGGATGGACAGGTGGGGCTAGGTATGTACAGGTGGTGCTAGGTATGTACAGATGGGTGCTTGGGATGGACAGGTGGGGCTAGGTATGTACAGGTGGTGCTAGGTATGGACAGGTGGGGCTAGGTATGTACAGGTGGTGCTTGGGATGGACAGGTGGGGCTAGGTATGTACAGGTGGTGCTAGGTATGTACAGATGGGTGCTTGGGATGGACAGGTGGGGCTAGGTATGTACAGGTGGTGCTAGGTATGGACAGGTGGGTAGGTATGTACAGGTGGTGCTAGGTATGGACAGGTGGGGCTAGGTATGTACAGGTGGTGCTTGGGATGGACAGGTGGGGCTAGGTATGGACAGGTGGTGCTAGGTATGTACAGATGGGTGCTTGGGATGGACAGGTGGGGGCTAGGTATGTACAGGTGGTGCTAGGTATGGACAGGTGGGGCTAGGTATGTACAGGTGGTGCTAAGGGGATACGTGTAAGCGGACCTGCGGCCTGAAAACAGTGCGTTAATGTTCGAAATAAGGCAAACAGAGTATTGGGTTTTATATCTAGAAGTGTAAGTAACAAGAGTGCAGAGGTCTTATGCAACTATATCTTGCGCTAGTCAGGCCGCACCTCGATTATGCGGTTCAGTTCTGGTGCCCTTATTATAGAATGGATATCAATTCACTAGAGTCGGTGCAGCGAAGAATGACAAAAATAATTCCGGGACAACCTTCCATATCAAGATAGGTTAAAAACTTAACTTGTATTCCTAGAGGGACGAAGAGTGCAGAGATATGATAGAAGTATTTAAGTGGGTGAAAGGAATCAATAAAGGGGATATAGATAAAGTTCTTATAATATCCGAGCAGGATAGGACTCGGAGCAACGGATTCAAGTTGGATAAGTTTAGGTTTAGGAGGAAATAGGAAGGAACTGGTTCACAAATAGGGTGGTGGACAGTGGAACAAGCTTAGACAACTTTGTAGTAAGTGCGGGAACTCTGGAAAGTTTTAAAGGAGGCTAGATAGATTCATGGATGATAGAGAGTGGTAGTAACTCTCGACAGGAGCTGCCATGCACAGGCCAACCGGCCTATTGCAGACTCCTTATTTTCTTATGTTCTTAAGGATGGACAGGTGGTACTAGGGAGGGTGAACAGGTTAATGAGGTACCTGGGCTCAATTAATAATACCTTGAGAGTAATAAAACACTTAGTTCATTTACCTGAGACTAATTAATACCTGAACTCTTGTCCTCACTTACCTAACCTAACCTAACCCTGACCCACACAGCCAAGTTACCGACTGTCTCCACCACCTGTACCTGGAGACCACACACCTGTACCTGGAGACCACACACCTGTACCTGGGGAGCCACACCTGTACCTATAGCCACACCTGTACCTATAGACCACACCTGTACCTGGAGCCACACCTGTACCTATAGACCACACCTCTACCTGGAAACACACCTGTACCTGGAGACCACACCTGTCCCTAGGCCACACCTCTACCTGGAGACCACACCTGTACCTGGAGCCACACCTGTACCTATAGACCACACCTCTACCTGGAGACCACACCTGTCCTGGAGACCACACCTGTGCCTATAGACCACACCTGCCTATAGACCACCTGTACCTAGACCACACCTCTACCTGAAGACCACACCTCTACCTGGAGACCACACCAGAAAACGGGCCAGGTAAGCTAGGTGACACAGGTTAGCTTTAAACATCAGTGATCACAAAAGCTAAAAAAATTCCTTACAGATTTCTGTTCACGAGGCAGTGGAATGAACGTGGAGTGTGGGTTGGTGTAGTGGGTGTGG